GGGGGGGACCTCCAGGCAAAAACACAAAAAAGTGGAGTTCATATTAGGAGTCACACCTTTCACATCAGAGACGGCACTTCTCATACTAGGAGCACCCCTTTCACATCAGAGCCCCCTACGTTCAGAACAGAGTCCCCCTTCACATCAGCAGCTCCCTCATTTCACATCAGAGACCCCTTTACATCAGTCACCCCCTCTTTTTACATCAGTCACCCCCTCTCATACATGGACCCCCTCATTCATGGGCCCTTTTCACATCACATTCACCCAGGTATGATGCCGTGTGAAATTTTTGAGGTACCCCAAAGAAGCTAGAAGGCACCCTGCTGGATTATATTATTGTAATTCAAAAACTAAAGGTGCACTAACCTAACTGATATTTAATATGAAGCATAGTGATAACTGGTCAGGTAACCTCATTTTACAACACATACATAATAAGAGGTGTCTTGGCCAAAGTTTTTTAAAGATTATGATAAATCTGTACTAAAAATATAGTTTATTCTTCCAACTCAACAATGTGATATAAGATAGATATAAGTGTAAATATACCCGAATCCAAAAAAAGCGTCTGAAACTGTTATTTTATGCATGTGTATAAATGTAAAAACTATTATAACATGTAATATAATACAATATAACAAGGAAATGTAAGCAAGAGATGTATCATAATCTGTAAATAATAAACATTTTTATATTTCTAAAGATGACTCCTCCAATTGTGCAAACACAGTATTACGTTTTTTTGTATGCGCTCAGTGAATCAGTAAAACTTTCCGCAAGTCATATACAGCAAATTATAAATACAGTGACAAGACAATACTTGGTTGTTTACAGTGGTTCAGAGGCTACCAATATCGGGATGTAAGTAGGCACATTAAGGGCCCATTCACACCATAGCATTATACTAAATGCACGGTTTCCATGTGTTTAGCACATACTATCGCACAGTGCACCCAGCGTGTGGTACTCTGTGCTAGGGGTGTTAGTTATTCATCTGAATGGCACCTCTATGCACTTCTTGGCAGCCATACATTGCAGACCAGCGCAATGCACGATATCGAAATACTGAGCGTTGCAGTGAAAAAAGTAGTGCATGCGCTACTTTTTTCAGTGCAGTACACAGCTACCAGGAGGTGCCATTTCAATGAATGGCAACCCAATGCACCAACAGCAGATTACCGCACGTTAGCTGCGCTGTGTGTTATCATGTGATAATGGATGGATACTGTGCGTTAAGCATACGGCTATGGTATGAATTGACCCCTAGAGGTACAGTAGCATTAAAACCTTGATATAGATGGTAAAAAGAAGTCAAAAGAGATTATTTTCTGGCACAACTCATATCACCCTTTATCTTCAGATTTGTGCTTAAGGAAACAAGAGGCGTATATAGTGAAATTGACTTTAAGTCTGCTGGTCGCCTTTCTGTGCCAGTTCAACTCAGATTCCTCAAATAATTACTACTGTCCTGGATTGGGGTCCCTCGTAATCCAACCAGCCAATGTCAGACTGATACTGTACTTCCACCAATATTACGTACTGGTGAGTTCAGTCACGATTGGACTTATGCAATTAAAGAAGAACTATGAGGTGAGTGCTTTCCACTCACCTCATAGTTCTAGCCAACCTGTGACAATGAGACTGTCACAGGTCGGCTCAGTAGATCGGGAGGTGAGAGAACACATACCGGCGTTCGCTCACCTCTCGATCCTGTCACAGGTCGGCTCAGTAGATCGGGAGGTGAGAGAACACATACCGGACCTTTAATATTTAGGGGTCTGTAATTAATGGAGAGCAGAAGTCACTATCAGCTCTCTGTAGGGCACCATAGTGTTTACTCCACACTGCACCTGCATTTTAAATGCCATTCATAAAATGTAGGCCGCAATGTAGAGCCTTCAATGTCCTACAGAGTGTTTTGCGCATAACTCTGCACAAACCACTCTGTAAGTGAAAGAGAAGCAGGTCCCCTGACTTTAGTTTACATGGTTGTTCACGTGTGGCCAGCTCTACAATATGCTTAAAGCTATTTAAACATTTTCCAATTTTCATAAAATAACTTTTTGTACCATTCCAACCTTGTTTTTCTCTATGTCATTAAATGGCAAAGTTTCTACACTTCAGCGCGTTTGCTATACCGGAAATGTTATTGGCCAGGTCAAGTTTATTAAGAAAAAAATTTAAACGTAAATGCTAGTATTTTAAATGTACTACACTTAGTTTGCTATTCAGGTGAGTTACCTGGTAAAGCCAGCCATACACCTATAGATTATCTGCAGATTTTCTATTGTCAGATGGAAAAAGTGCAACACATTTCTCCATCTAAGCTAAACTGTGTGGATGGAGTATCTTGCTAGCTGGCCACGCTGGCTCTCAAAATACCTGAACAATGCCTGCATCCCATCAGATTGTTCAGGCGTTTTGAGAGCCAGCGGGTCGACTAGGAAGATACTGAAGCTTGGCCCAGTGGGAGATTCCTCCATCCACACAGTTTAGCGTAGATGGAGGAATCTGTTGCACTTTTTCCATCTGACCGGTATGTCTTTGGAATGTGGGAGGAAACAGGAGTACCCAGAGGAAACCCATCCAAGCACAGAGAGAACATGCAAACTCCTTGCAGTGTCCTGACCAGGATATGAACCAGGGACCCTAGTGCTGCAAGGCAGAAGAGTTAACTACTATATAGTGACAAATAGAATAAAGACTAGCCTCAGTAGAAAAGATTTTACTTTTTAAGCCTCAGAATATTTGATTTTTAAAAAAAATATTATTGTATAATAATAATAAGTGTGTGTGGATTCTTAATACCACTTGGTGGGTGTTTTCCCATTCCAGATGTAAATGATTGCAGAGAATGAATCATGTATGTGAATTATCTCCTTACAACTAGAGAGTGAAACGCTTGAGAGGTAGGAGTTTCACAACTGGTGTTGTACGAATGAAGTTATACTGGAATCTTTATACTAGAAATGGAACTAGTAACGCTATTGGTTTATTCTGAAAGTTACATATCTTAATTTGTACAGTTTGTGGGACATCTGTATTTTACAGAGCCTGTCAGGTTAGTTGCTGCTTTGTGTAATTAAATTGAACTTATTCAAATTTAAATTGTAATACACTTGTTAAATATATGATAAATGTATATTTACTTGTACAGACCAGCCTCCTCTGCTAGCACACCTACTAGAAAGCAGTGAGACATTTTCACCCACATTGCAGCTGTTATTTTTTACCTACAACAGTAAAACATAGTAGGGGGCCTGCTGAAGTTTGCTAGGAATATTGGGGTGCATGTATGCTGCATATGTGTATTTGGAGTGCATAGTGTGGTATGCATCCTGTTGTGCACTGTGTATTGCAGTGCCAGATAAGGTATTCTCTGTGTAGAGGGGTGCAGTTTGTGGCAGAGCATGATGGGTTGCTAAATGTTTTGGGGTGCATGACATGGGGTGAGGAGTATAACGGGGTGCATGGTGGGTAGCGTTTAGTGTATTGTGGTCAAATGTGCATTTGTATGCTGGGGAAGTATCATGCTTCTGAACAACAAGGAACATATGCTGCTCATTACTAATGCCCATATCTGGAAACCACCCTATTTATATTTCACCCTAAAGAGTGTTCCCTGAAGTTGATGCATCTATGGGATACTGCTTTTGTGCTGCTGGCATGTAGAGGCTGAAAGGTTTGTATTTATTTAACTGCACTCCTTTAAAAACATTGATGTTTTGCCTCCACCCAGTTGTACTTTAGACCTAATTTTTTAGATCTGGTTCAGGCCTCCTCTATTTTTATGAGATCCCTACCTGCCAGCACAGAATTTACCATACGGGACCCTGGGGCACATTTTGTTTAAAATGGACCCTGACTAGTCATCATACACCTGGAACGCTGTTGTACTAAGAGTAATATCCTCAATGTTAGAATTCTCATTTCTCTATAACAAAAGCGAAGCGAAAGGGGTGCACAGACAGTTATCACAGCTAGATATGTTTTTAGATTGTAAGCCCTCCTTACCATCTTGTCTTGAATTGTATTGTAATGTCTTCCTCATATTATAAAGCACTGCACAAACTGTTGGCGCTCTATAAATCCTGTGTAATAGTATAAATAATAATATGTTGTCAGTGTATCACAATCATTTGTGAAGAATCCCTTGCATTGTTTGCAAATAAGTACATTGAAAACGAAAGCACATTATGAATAATACAGGTTCCATACAAGTTGTATGTATTTTCTGCTACCGGCCTCTTCTTCATATAACAAGTTCACACCCAAGGTAAATACAGCTGACAAAAGGTATTACGTTGAGCTTGAAGCATGTGTGAAGAATGGGTGGCGTTAACAGTGGGACACTGATAGAATTTTGTTTGAGTTGGCCATAAAACAGAGATAAAGGAAACTTGCCAAAAAAAATGTGGCCTGATATTGCTGATCTGTCCTGAAAATCCAAATTCCCTGGCTGTCAAGTTTGCTTTCACCTTGGTACTAGTGAGTCACTGACCTGGAACACATATAAAGAAACAAAAAATTCAGATTTTTTTTAAAGCCAAGAAACTAGCATTTTTTTTTTAGATGGGTGCTTGGCATCCCTATACTTTGTGCATTAAAGGGACACTAAACTCGGGAGGAGTTAAAATCATACAATGAATTCAAGTACCCTAACTGGTTACAAAAATGTAACCTATTTGTGTATCACTGGGCTGTAGATTCTTCACACTGTCCTTCCTTCTGGAGGGTGGCTACTTTTGTTCCCCATGGTCCCTGTGTGTGCTTTAATGTAGCCTCCACTCCAAGCTCACTCCCGTGATGGACTACAATCTCAGTACAAATGAGTAAATGTGAGATTGTAGTCCATCACAGGAGTGAGCTTGGAGCGGCAGCTACTTTACAATGCACACGGATCATAGGGAACAAAAGTAGCGACCCTCCAGAAGGAAGGACAGTGTCAGCACCAATTCAGAGATGATTTGAGGATCTACAGTCAAGTGATACACAAATAAGCTAAATGTTTGCTAATAGTTTGGGTACTTGAATGTATTTTTAAGATTTAACTCCTTAGTGTTTAGTGTCACTTTAAACTATGCATTTACAAGCAATCTTGCATCTTTTAAATATCACATAGTAGTTTATGAATAGCATTAGTTTTCACTGTGATAAGTTACTTTAATATAAGTCACTTACACAAGCTGTCTCAGATGATTACTTGTGGTCCTCAAAGGAAATCAAAAGGCTGAACTTGAAACCCTTTCTTCACCTATAGTTGTTTGTAGCCATATAAGTACACTATGGCCACAAAACACAGTTAAGTACTGTTGCAGTAACAGTTACATTTTCAGGACAGGCTTTTGGGTGTTGCCTTATTCTCGGTCCAAGCGTTACTAATACACAAAAGTTTAGTAGAATGTTAAGAAAGAATCTGCAAAGACAACAATCTCTGGAAAACCAAAACACACACAGGGTAATGAAAGCCAAAGGGTTAGTTAGATAAGGAGTAGAGAAATGGGCTATGGAATGGGAAGTGTCCCAGAGGTGATAGTGATTTCAAAAGTTGGTGCAGGAGATACACGATAGAAACTTTGTGCTGTATATATCCTATGCCCTGCTCCTTTCCCCCCTGCGAAAGCATCAAATAGCAGGAGAGGTTGTTAAAATACAGCCATTCCTGTGTAACACTTGCAGATGGTATGCATTGCATAAATATAGTGTAACAATGGTTAGATTCTATTTGTTATTTAAACAGGCTCCTTGAGAGCAGGGACTGATGTGAATGTGCACTATGTAAAGCGCTGTGCAAATTGTTGGTGCTATATAAATACCTGTAATAAATAAACAGGCCCATAGTGGAAATGTAAAAATTGCTCTGCCTTAATCATGAATAGCTGATTTCAGATCTGCTGTACAATGCGAGCAGATAGATCACTTTGTGTTATATATCTTTATAACTGACCACATAGATTAGATTCCTTTCTAAACTCTAAGCTATCAAGCACTTCTAGCAGTCTTAGAGGACAATTTAACATATCAGTTTGTTGACATATAAGACTTCAAATTGGTTACATGAACAATATGATTTGTTTTTCTATTAAAACAAATTTATTAGACATTATGGAAAAATGATACAGATGAACGCAGGCAATTTTAAATAAATGTTCCTTGTGACAAAGAAAGCGATGTCCATGATAGACAAAAACATTCCACTGGAGGAAATGCTGCTGTGCCACAATAAAGATACATATCTATGAGTGGGCATAGCAGCTCAAGATGAATCCATTCTAGAGGAACTGGAGGGATTCTGGCTGGTGCAAGTCTTTGGTCCTTCCTCCCCTTCTAGCCCTTCACTCATTTGAGCTGAAGAGATGGTGGAGAGATGTTCTAGTTCATATCGGCCACCTTCTGCTGTTCCCTTCCCTTCCTTCTTGTGTTCTAAGATTTGCCGCATCTGCTCCTGTGCATATGCTGGCTTCTCTGTAAGCGGTCCTGGTGGAGGAGGAAAGCCCAGTATGTCAGGAGCCATATATGGACGTAGCCACCCTATCAGTGGAGTGCTGCCTGGAGTGTAATGGGTGTGCTTGTGGTAGAAGAGAAGTCCATCCACCTACAATTGAGCAAAAATAAAACAGAAGTTCAAAAACATTGAATCACATATTTTGATATTTTTTACAACTGCCTAGGAACTTATTTGCTTAAACCTAAAAAAATAGTCCTGTCTAAATCAAAACCAAAAATAGGTCAGCTGTTACCTTCAGCCTAATCTCATTTAGGTTCACTTTGTTACTAATGCCCAATTTAAACTTACTTTATGGCTAAGTTCTATCAACTGCTATTCCCCTGTTTAATGAGAATGCCCTTACTTTACACTTAGACGGTCCCACTGGACAAAAGAAAAATTTCAGGGCTTAATCATGATCACAGGGAACATCAGGTCCCATTAACCTGAAACTAGCGAGGCACAGAAGAGGATTTTCTGGTTAATAAAAGTTAACAGACAGCTCGCGGTGTCTGCTCTTAGGGCGCGTTTCTGGAAATGTATGTCCATTTATGATGCGTTCCTATGCATTTTTTAAGCCTTCATTGAATTTCTAGTGCCTTCCAGTGCATTCACGTGTTTAAATGTGTGTTCCAGACCAGACAAAATAGTGCATGCAGTACTTTTTTTTAAACCTTCTGGAACTTAACACAATGGTTTGAACTAGCCTCACTTTTTACCATAGGAATGAATGGGTAAGCATTTTTGGTCCAGACAAAAATGTTCTGTCCTGGAGATGGTGTGAAAGGAGATAGTTTCATCTTTAAAACCTTGAGTATAGATTAACTTAATGTTTATGACAAGGTGTGGAACTAATCATTTTTAAGTATGATTGCAAAATATTTTCGAGGCTACGATGCTCAGATTTGTTTCCATCTGCAGAGCTCTTCACACATGGAGGAATAAAAACCTTCATAAGACTTGGCTCAAACTCTGGGCTTTTGGTAATTTGGAGGATCAAAGTTCAGAATGGCTAAATCCTTACCTTCAGCACAGTAGTAATCAAACACAGTGATCTGTGTTTGATGCTGTTATGGTTAATAAGAAGCTGGAAAAGTTTGCGTTAGAAAGCATGCACATCTGACAAGACAGCAACGATCCAAGCCAAACAGCAGGAAAAATGTATTCTTTTACAGGCATGTCCCCAGAAAAATAATTTAAGACTACGTTAGATTGTTGCATAACCCCAAGTGTTACTAGTTCTCTTTATAATAGTGAATAGTATAGATATATAATTGCTTTCATGCCGATTGGAGACATAAGAAAAACAAACTGAAAAATGAGTCCTTTTCATTAATAAATATTGAGATAAACGCTCAGTGACGAGAAAACTTGTCCCTGTGGCTCGCGTGTGCAATCAACACATGAGCAACTACATACAAAAAGAGGCAAATTGAAATTTTTCTACATTTGCATTACATATAAGATTACTGATAATGGGCTTCACAGATTTTGAAAAGTACATGACTGTTAGGCCAGGTTGGACCTCAGCCAAGATCGTAAAGTTTTTGGACTTTTAAAAAGTGATAACCTCGACAAAACATATATGATGTAACTAATTGCATATGATGATGGGAAATATAAGGTTGCTTAGGCCATAACAGCCAGTTATCTATACAGCAGTGAACACCCAAATACAATATGTAGGGTGTAATAAGTAGGGATGCACTGATATATCGGCCAAAAATTGCACTTTTGGCATAATGCCGAAAGTGCCATTTTCCTGCCGATACATCGGCGCATCCCAGGTTTCTTTCCTCCCCGCTGGGCGCTGCTCTGTGTTCCAGCGGGGAGGAGAGAAAGTGACAGCCGGCCAAGCGCTGCGAGCAGCCGGTGTCTCTCCTCCCACACCCACCGCTCAGCCTCCTATTACAGTCCGGCAGAGCGGTGTGGGGGCGGAGAAAGCCCGCACTGTCACAGGAGTCTGAGCTCTCCTCCTGCACCGCTCGCTCAGCCTCCTATGACAGCGTATCAGAGAGGAGAGCGAGAGCAAACACTCAGCAATCAGTGATTGCTGAGTGTTTGTAGATAATTGAGGACATAGTATGGTTCCTATATCCTCAATTATGAATGAATGGGAGTGATCTACATCACCTCCTGTTCATTCATTATTGTGGTTATGGTTATAGTGAACATACACTGTTGTCAAGTTATCAATGAACAGGAACACTCAGAGGATTCCTGTTCATTGATAACAGGGGATACAGAAAAAGAGATTGAGGACCCTGTCCTCAATCTCTTTTTATATTTTAAAAGGGAAATATCAGGGGTCTGTTTAGACCCCTAATATTTCCCCAAAGCCCCTAAAAGTAAAGTAAAAAATAAAAATGTTTAATAAAAAATGAATAAAAATATACAAAAATTGAAAAGTTTATAGAAAATAAATACAAATAAAATTTGAAAAAATTAAAATAAAAACATTTTCCGTTTCGGTCTGACAATTTTTTTATTTCGGTTTCGTTTTTCAAATTTCTATTTCGGTGCACCTCTAGTAATAACCAATTTCACAACGTGTTACATTCTTGGAAGAGTAGAGTATAAAAGCAGCACTGCAGCAACCTATCAGATTCAAGCTGTCATTTTCCAAGTCTAGGATTTTGCTCTTATTAATCAATATATTAATAGTCAACAAATGCAATTACTATTGCAGACAATGTAATACAAGGCCTATAGTTCATGATAAACTACAACACAGTACACTCCATACCTGGTAGGGGAATGTTTGCATTAGAACATTCTGTATAGAATCCAGGCAGCAGGAGAAGTTCTGCAAACCGATAAACTTGAACTTGAAAAGGAAAAAAACAAGACTGGTAAATATCCAGGAAAAAATAAACAAATAGCATCCTCTGCATGATTTAAGATCTATTCCCAGGCTACTCACTGGGTTCCGCTTGGAAATATCACCAAGTCCATCCTGTTCCTGAAGTTTTGACTGAAGCCAATAAAAGCGAAATTCAGTCTAGGAAAGAAAGCAGCTTTTAGATTGTGGATAATTATTAAAGCAACACTTCTTGGCAACAAGTTATACACAAAAAGAATGACATAAAAGGGAGCTGTTTACCTGCCCAAAGTTTTGTATTACTGTCTATGCAGTATTGATATTTACATAGCACAGCCAGGTAGATGGCACTACTTACATTCAATTTGGAAAGAAAATATGCCAATAACATTTGTTTTTGCCTCCATTCACACAGAACGCATATACATGCAATTTCGCAGGGCAAATTACTTTGCAAATTGTTTATAAATACAGCCCCCAATGTAATTTGCCCAGGTTTGGAACAGTTTTCTTTTGGAGACAGTAACTGTTGCGCATACCCACAGTAATAACGAGTCTTATACATTTAAATCTGCAAAAAAAAAAACAGATATGCACAAATCAACAACATACAGCTAACAGTCAATCTGGGATGCTATCAGTGTTTCATGTTTTAAATAACTCGGAGTCAAGCTCTGGTGTCATTGTTGTTTTATGTTCTGTGAGTGATATTGTACCACATCGCAACGACCACAGGTTAGAAAACACTTACCTGGCAGTCATAAACTGGGTGTCCTCTCCAACACATGACATCTAACACATAATAGGTCCGCAATGCCTCATTGTATATACAGTCCAAAATGGTGTAATCTGCAAAGGACAGAGAAGGTTAGGTTTTTGCTAATATTTAATGTTTTCCACAAAATATAATAACAAATCAAGGAAAACATGTAATGGAAGCGGAAAAACAACAAACAAACACAATTACATTTTGCACTCTTCCAACAATATGCAGCCAGACCTTGCCTCTCCATACAAATGGTAGTTCACTGAACTTACTGAAATATATTCTGACCAATCATTCATTTGGAACGCATCATTGTAATAGTAAAGCTGGCCACACACACTTTTTCTCGTTCAGCCCCGTGGGGCTTCCTCTGCCAGCAGATCCATTATTTTTCAACACCCTTTAAAGCAGGGGTCTCAAACTCAATTCACTCAGGGCCACTGGAAAAAAAATGTTTCCCATGGGGGCCGCTTGCCAAATTTCAAACTTCAAAATAAAATGTAACTATATTCTGTACCAGTGTTAATGTGTGTGTGTGTGTTTATAGTGTCAGTATATGCAGGGGTGTGGAAATTTAAAAAAAAACTACTTGTCCAAGGGCTAAAGCGGGGGCCAAATCTACTTGTCCTTCATGACAATCTACTTGTCCCAATACAAAAAATAGTTTTAATCAAAACTAAGGATGCACCAATACCGGTTTTTCGGTATCGAGTACCTATGTTTTGCTTTCGGATCTCGCCGACACTGAATACTAATAGCGCTGCTTCCGCTGGCATGGAGCAGACTTCCCTGGTAATCAGGAAGCCAGGCAGCAGGTAATGACATCCCGCCCAGGTTCCTGATTGCCACGGAAGCCGGGCCCATGTTGTTTGGCCTGCTTGATTGCGATTGGCTGGGAAACCTGCTTCCTGGTCAATCAGGAAGCCGGGTGGGTGGCGAGTAATGACCTGATTGACCGGGAAACTGGCTCGATGCTGATTGGCCAGGAAGCTGGCTTTCCAGCCAATCATCAAGGTGCCGGCTTCCTGGGCCAATCAGAAAACCAGGAGGCGGGTCATTACTTGTCGCACGGCTTCCTGATTGCACGGGAAGCTGGCTCCATGTTCCCCTACGGTACTGCCAGTCAGGTGAAATTTTCATCTGGCCGTAAGTTCCAATATCGGGGTAGGTATCGGAGCATTTGGGTAAGTACGAGTACTTGCCCAAATACTCGGTATCGGCACTGATACTAGTATCGGTGCACCCCTAATCAAAACATATTTTACTGTGCTAAATAGCGCTTCTCACTGGTCAGCGCAGTCATCTGACCACGTTGACCAATGAGTGCTTGCAATTTGCGAGCGAAATTCAAAATTGATAGGGGAGGACTGCGCTGGACAGCGGTACGGGGGACAGATAGTACACCCATACTGGCGGAGGGATTGTTCGCCGAAAGGTAAGTATAGAAAGGGGGGTGGCGGTTTGGGAGAGACAGGGCCAGATTTCATCGGGTAATTTTTATTTTTCCATATTACCTGGGAATATGAACTTACCCTTTAATGCACATTGTGTGTGTGTAAGAGAATTCTGGCTACCACCATGGAATGGCGGCTGCAATCTCAAAGCACATGGAGAATGTCCTACGCATGCATTTATTTGCATGCAGATGGCGGGGGCAGCAGGGTTTCATTTTTATTTTTCATTTTTTAAATCTTTATATATTTAATTTTTTAAATTTTCTTTAACTTTTTATTTATTTACTTTTTCCCCTTAATGTTCTTCCTATTACATAGGAGATTAAAATCCCTTATGTGATAGTTTGGAGGTGACAGGTTCTCTTTATGGAACCTGCCCTCCAACACAGAACAGCTGTTCTGTGTAGTTCCTGACAACCGAGACAGGTGGCGCTGATTACAGCGCCACTGTCTCAGAGAACACACAGAGAGCCTGTAGAGCAGGCGTTTTTCGCCTGCTCTATGGGCTCTATGGCTGAGCCGTTGTGCCTTAGTTTTCGGGGTCCCCCGGGAGAGCGGGCGACCCCGAAAACTATGGCGGGAGGTGCGGGCAGAAACGATCGCCGCTGCTCAAATTAATACAAGTGGTCTGATCAGACCACTTGTAGTAAACGAGCAGCGGCGGCTCCACAATGTACATTCAGCTCTGCTTGTCCGGAGTCGGGCTGAATGTACTTTTAAAACTCGCCCGGCGCCCGAAACTGCATGTCCCGGGCTTCGGGCGATAGGAATTCCACACCCCTGATATGTGTTTGTGATGGTTTCTTTGTATGCATTGTCAGTATATTTTTGGGGTGGTTTCTGTAAGTATTGTCAGGATTTCTGTGAGTGATGTCGGTTTGTGTGTTAATGTTTCTGTGTGTCATATCAGTATGTACACATGTGTATGTGTGTAGTGTTAGTATATGTGTTTTTTCCCCACAGGTTTTAGTTTTAATCATAAAGGACCAACAGATTCACACACAGGATACACACACACATAGAAAAACGTACACCTCCACAACCAGAAATACTCACTAATATGCACACAATAAGGCCCCATTCACACCTGTACATTTAGGTGAGACTAGGAAGTCCTGCATCCGGAGTCAGGAATTTGCATTTTCCTGCAGCAGGAATTCCTAATAATACACTCTGCCTGCCCCAGTCCGCTCTACAGATTGTATATTCAAATAATAATAATAGGATGAATAGGTTACGTGGGCAGACCTAAATAGTGGTAAAGGATTTCCTTTAAGACATTCTATTGCAAAGTACAATAAACTGAAGATAACATTTTGCAGTTGGACTTCATTAAGATGATGCTGGGGTTCCATCATAATGGCAGCTCAAAATGGTGCTGGAGCAATAAATAAGAGGCGTCTGCATCTAACTATCACTGCTCACCACGCATACCCAAATCCCCCTTAACCAATGACAAAACACCATGCCCAACTCATGCGCAGTAACATTGTATACGATCCCCACGTATATGCAGTGGATTCTACCTACCTTGCTCTCAACATTTCAACCCTCATTGATGCTCAGATCAATATGGTGGTGAAATCCTGAGCAATATGCAGGAGTGGCAGTACACAGTACTGAGGATGCGTAAGATCCCACTGTCATACTGATGGGCTGAATTTACACCATTTCATGTTCATACACGCAAATGGTGATGCACACATGTAGGTTCTGTGACAGGAGGCTGAGCAGTGCCTGGAAGAGAGACGCCGGCCGCTCACAGCGCTCTCCTCCTGCACAGCTCGGCCTCCTGTGACAGTTTTTCTCCTCTCCGCTGGGACACAGCAACACCCAGCAGGAAGGAGAGAAAGAACGGATGCACCGCTATTTCGGACAAAAAAGAATGGGACTTTCGGCATTTTGCCAAAAGTGTCATTTTAGTCCTATATGTTTCGGCGGCCGATATATTTGGTACATCCCTAGCAATAACATCCTACAAATGTATGCATTATAACAGATAATCTTCCTTTTACTTACACATAACACAACCTCACCTTTGCCAGTGGAGCTGTTGTGTCTGTTTCCACCTGGTAACAGTGAAGGAAATCTGTTTACACAATATCCGCTCTTAGTGTAAGCTGCAGTGGAGCCCTAGAACAGGATTAAGAGTGGTAAAAATGAGCATACCAACCAGTGAATAACTTGTGTGTAATCTTAACAGCTATACCTTTTACTTGAAATGTACACTTGGCATGAGAAAAAATACGGGGGCTGCCATTCAAGCACCCAAACATCCAAGTTGGCTCTATCTGTCTTTAGTACTTGAGTCACTGTCCTGTAACAAGCACTCACGCAGTGATAAAGTTCTCTTTGTGCCCCCATTCACACTACAAGTATTCATTTGTCTGCATCAAAATGGATGGCACTGCAGGTGACCGCACCACACCACGCTGCTGTGTGGGGACCTGAATGAAGTGTACACTGAACACTCCAAATAAAAAAAAATTAAAAAGCGAACAGTATGATTTGCTAAAACAGAACATTACACTGCTGGATCTGTCACAGCACACTAGCCTCAATTTTGGGAACTGTGATGTAGTGAGACCTACAAATACCTTCTGTTTTAGGCTACATTCACACTAACTCGTCCGCTAAAATGCTCTGTTTTAGCAGGTGGGCTAGTGTGAAAGTAGACCAGAAAACAAGGTTTTTGCAGGTCTCACTGCCATCACAGATAGCAAAATTAAGGGATCCATTCCTCTTTTAGGTTAGTGGGTGGATCCATGTAAATCACTCCTTTATGTCCACATGGCCAACTGGAAATCCAGAACTTGTTTATAGTACAGATACAGACTAATATTGCTATTCATTCCAAACTGCATACAGTTGTTTCAGGCAAGTTAATCATCATCAGTGCAGTGTATGGAAATCATGGATTCATGCAGTAGGGCTTATGGACTAACACCTTTTTACCCACCTCACCATAACATTGTTGGTTGTTCCTTTGCGTCGGTCCCCGTGCCCTATTCCACAGAAGCAATGGATTCCATACACTGCACTGATGATAGTCAACTAGCCTGAAGCAGCTGTATGCATATAATAATAATAATAATAATAATCCACTAGCTTGAGGGCCCATTCACACTACATCATCTCTAGACTATACCAGATGGTTTCCAGACCCAAAATGCATCCTAATGTATCCCTATGCTATTTCTGTTCACACCAGCGCAGCCCGTTCCAGACCAGACTAGAAAAATACTGCATGTCCCAATTTATCTGGTCTGCAATGCACTGGAACTGCGGGCAGGTTCACACCATTTTCCGAACCAGATCTGGACCGGAAAATGGTGTGAACCTGCCCTTACATAGCTGTACGCAGTTAATAATAAAAATAATAATGCAGCTCTCTAAACCAGCAGTTCTGGTTGTGCAATTAGGCACAAAGAACAATTTGAATGACTTTGCCCACTATTCTAAAAGGAGAGATAACCCCCCTATTGTTTTTTGAACTGTGGTAAAGTGAGATTTGCAAATACCTTCCACCATAAAAAAGCGTTACTGTATTTTTGTTTCCTTTTTGCCCACCTCACCATAATGTGTTCTGATAATCCACAGAAAAGCTTCAGAAATCCTGAGTATCTATTTACGTAAAGTTTTTAAGCCGAAGCATTAGTATGACAGCCGGGCAAAATTTTTAGAAAGAGAGGTTAGCAATGGTAACCTACAAAATTCTCCCAAGACAGATTTTTTTTTTTTTAAGAAGGCAAGTAGCAAGCTTTGCACAAAAGGATACAAAATATACATTCATGTAGCTGGCCTAACTAGCATTTCCAAGGAAGAAAGGGGCATGCTGGATGCACCCATTACGCTTGAAGAACTGAAAATTGTTATTTCCTCCTTACAGAAGGGAAAGTCTCCGTGCCACTCCACCTACCATTTATTATACTATTAAACTTTTCAGGAACCTCTAACCCCGACGTAGCCAAAACGTCAGCCCTTCAGCTGTGGGGAATCTACAAATCACCTTAGGCACTGAAAGACTCTGACAGTCACAGGCATGACTCCCAGAGGCAGATGCATGCTGCGTTTCACCACAGCTGGAGGACCGAAGTTTGGCTACCCCTGCCCTAACCTAACACTCTCTCCAGACACCGAATTCCTGTGTAAAGGTCTATCAACCCCTTCAGCGGAATATGTTAAAAGCCCATATTACAGTCATTCCTAAGGAAGACAAAAAACAGTAAGTCTGACAGCTGCTAAAAAATAATGGTCATTATTGCCTTGATAAATTATTGGAATGATTTCCAAATAGTCAAATTTAGCCTAATGATGTAGCTATACTGCTAAATGTAACTATGAGCATAAAGCAGGGGTGGGCAAACTCCAGCCCTCCAGCTGTTGTGGAACTACCAATCCCATGAGGCAATGCAAGATTCTCACAGCCACAGGCATGACTCCCAGAGACAGACGCATGATAGAATGTGTAGTTTCACCACAGCTGGAGGGTCGGAGTTTGCCCACATTTGGCCAAAGGTTTGCAGTAATACTTCCTTCTTAAAATAGCCCAACGTACAATACACATACCTAAAAGCAAGCTTTTTATAGTTCCATTAGTTTTTATGTAGCAGACTTCATAATGTGACCGAGTAGGCAAAATAACTGCAACAAGTTTCTTAATCCAGTCCTCCTCCACTAATTTTCAAATACCTGAGCATCCCTATGAATACATCATATGCCAGTAAGCTGAGTGGCAGTGCCTTTGTAATTATTGCTCAACTCTGCATGCTAATAAACATTTAATTCATTAAAAACTGCAGTGCAATGCTGAACCATAATTACAAGTGACACCAACTGCACACCTAATCCAACAACAAGTTTAACATTCATATTATGAGAAAACTTTCTTGATAAGCAGCCCTATTTCAGGAGCTGTGTGGTGCTGATCATGTGTTAGAAATACAAATAGCTCACCCTAGATGCCACAATTAAGGAACGCTTTCCAGTGGGGCACACTACAAGAAGCCAGAGATCAGCCAGGTCTGGTGGGACTTCTATTAACCACTCAGACAGCATTAGCTGGAAGGAAAAGAAGACACTATATAATGAAGGATATGCAAAACACGGGCGCTATGTAAAAATGATGAAACAAGGTTATAATGGTATAGTAGAAAAATATAAAATGAACTAATTAAATATTTGGCTCTATATGTAAATAACCTGGTTAGCATAATGTTTTGGCAGCTTCTTGCCAGCATCCACATCCATCTCCTCCCCTTCACTCTCCACTCCATCTTCTTTTTCTTTTTCCTGTTTGTTGTCTATCTTTTCTTCCTCTTGCTCTGTCCAGTCCCCTTCAGCCAGCCGGCGGGCATGGTTTATATAGTCTAATCGTTTTCTAAAAAATGTCAAAGTACTAATATTTTCATCAATGCCAAATAAAAAATGAAGTGAAGTAATGAATGAAAGTTACTCAATGCTTTATTTGTAAGATCTGACAAACCTTTAATATGTCTGCATTATCATAACTAAATAAATGAAATCATAGTAATGTACAGTGTGTACAGAAACAAACAGTGATAAGCATGTTTAAAGCGATACTAAACTCAGAAGTTAAATCTTAAAAATGCATTCAAGTACCTTAACTAGGGATGATGCACCGATACCGGTTTTTCGATATCGAGTACAGATTTTTTTTAACGAGTACCAATACCGGTGCACTGTGCCCCGAGTATCAGGAAGCCATGCGGCGTATCATGACCCGCTGCCTGGGTTCCTAATTGCCTGGGAAGCCAGTTATCTATTAAAAGAACACCGGCTTCACTTCCCGACCAATCAAGAAGCCTGGCGTCGGGTCATGAGGTGCCGTCTGGCTTTCCCGGATTGGTCAGGAAGCCAGGCTGCCTTGCAACAAGTGAAGCCGGCTTCCTAGCCAATCAAGAAGCTGGGCGGCACGTCATGACCCACCTCCCGGCTTCCTGATTGGAAAGGAAGCCGGCTCCCTCGGCACTGCCAGCCAAAGGGAGGTCTCCCTCTGACCAGAAGTTCCGGTATCAGAGGTAAGTATCGGAGCATTTGGGCGGGTCCGGGTACTCTCCCAAACACTCAGTATTGGCACTGATACTTGTATCGGTGCATCCCTAACCTTAACTAATAATACAAATTTATGTGGCTTATTTGTGTATCACGCAGCTGCAGAGTCTCAAATTATCTCCGACTTTGTGTTGACACTGTCCTTCCTTCTGGAGGGTGGCTACTTTTGTTCCCCATGGTCCCTGTGTGTGTTGTAGTCACCGCTCCAAGCTCGCTCCCGTGATGGACTATAATCTCCCATTTAGTTTACTAAATTGTATTGAACTTATAGTCTATCACAGGAGTGAGCTTGGAGCAGTGGGTACTTTCCAACACACACAGGGACCATGGGGAACAAAAGTATCCACCCTCCAGAAGGAAGGACAGCGTCAGCACCAATTCAGAGATGATATGAGTGTCTACAGCGGAGTGATACAAAAATAAGATACATCTTTGTAAATAGTTGGGGTACCTTAATGCAGGGCTCAACAGATTTCAGACGCCAGGTCGCCATGGCTTCTAAAAATTGCATCCTGGCGCCTGGGCTTTTGCCAACCCGTTCATTGTCCCCTGCCGATGCCTTTGCTCCCCCGTCCTCCTCCCCGCTGGTCGCCAGCTGCAGCAGTATGTGTTCCAAGCTGCTCTTACCACCTGTATCAGCAGAGGCAGTGGTGATGAGACTACCGTTAGCCCATGTGCCCCACCCCTGCCTTACAACTGGATGGGACCACTTGTGGCAGGAGCAATAGCAGGGAGCAATAGCCAGCCTGCTATTGGTTATTTTAAATTGCACACCCCCCCCTCCCCCCCGCCTGCTGTCAATGATCAGAGGACGAGATGCAAGTAAGCATCCTTGATGTCCACCAAGGCCAGAAGGTCCCCTGGATGTAGGGAAGCAATTGCTCATCTAATAGATTATATGTGGAATTTTTGCAATCTAAACCTTTCTTGCTCTGGAACAATAGCTATGACTTCACAATAGTTGTGACTGTAATGGAACAACATATGTAGGTAATAATAATAAAGTTGATTTTTTTGCTAGACTGGCTTAACATATACGTGTAGACAAAAAAAAGTGTATAAAAAAGTGGTTACTTTTTAAAGGTAAAAAAATATAAAACATCTTAGGGCTGATAACTTCTTATGCGCTATGCCTGTAATGCACTCTTTTTATGCAATCACAGTCAAAAATGTTCTTGGTTATCTCCGAGCATTACAAAACGCCTCCCACTATGTTACCAAGAAGAGGATAGGGGGAGGGTTTTGTAGTTCTGAATTGTTTATACTGTTCTGATTTAGCAGGATAAGTGAGCAGAGTTACTGGTAAAATCACTTGATGAACTTAAAAGAAAACCCTGAAAAGGAAAACTAATGCAGCCACCACATCCAAGGAGTAAACGGCAACATATTACTTTTTCCTTTCTGGGTTCGGATACTCTTCAATAAATCATACTTTATATTACCAACACCTTGAAAGTTCTGTTTATTCCATAAACCAATAATTATTGTGGTCATGTCAAAATAACCAGTACCCCTAAATATCCCAATTTTAAGAAACAGAAGAAACCATTTTCTATCAGTCAAGAATGTTCCATCACTCACGCTTTTTGTAATTCCAGAAGTTTCCTCCTGCGTTCACTCTGCTCTAGAGAGCTGTATTTTCCCTTGTACTGTGCCAGTCGTGGGTGGGGAGCGGATGTACTGTTAAGTTGTGAAGAAACTGAGAAGCTTCCGGCGAGGGCTTCTGCGAGAGTGTCCATTCCTAAAGCTTAAAGAGCTGAGTCTGGGAGACACAGACCGCCCTGTAAATGCGTGAAATAACATACACAGTTTATAAAAATGTAAAGCTGGCCACACAGCAGTAGAAATTCTTTCAAAAATATGCTTCTTTGGAACAATATTTCGATTTTCTAAGAGTTTTCTAATAGTTAACGGGGTCAAGTTGTTTTGTTTGGGTTTTTTTAATCGCAGTGATGAAAAAAAAATGAAGGAGCTGGATGAAAACCAACAAAATTCTAACAGTGAATGTGATATTCGATCGAAAAAATTCCATTCATTCCAAAGCCAAACACAATTCAGAAGGACATTCCTCAAATCTCTGAAGAAATTATCCAATGTTCCAATGTGATTTGTCATATAAATGTTTGTCGGGAAATCTACTTTTGTATAGTCACTGCTGTGCCACATTGCACAGTCCTGACCACCTCTGTATGTTATGTAGTACATTACATAGACCTGACCCCTGCACTGTGTATGCTGTGTTGTGTGTTACATTGTCCAGATCAAAGTGTTTATCATCTTACAGTTGATGTGTAATTTGTAAGTATTATGATGAAGTTCTTCTATAAGGTACACTCAGAGAACGTCTTAGCTCTGTCTATATTGTTTTATTTTTTTTAAACAATCCTTTAGGTTAATGTGTGTGAGACTGTCGCCCATAACAGTAAGAAGTACTTCGAGGGTACTGCAGACACTGTATATTTTAGGAAGGCTCAGATTCTATTTAACCACACCCCTTTAAAGAAGAACTCTGGGTATTTTTTTAATTAATCCTTACAGTGGGGCTACCTGCTTGTTTTGGTATAGGGCTGAAAATAAAGTTATACTCACCCAGTCCCCCTAGCCGGCTTGCTCTTATACCGGTCCCCAGAGGGTCTCTCCACCTTCGTTGCAGCAGCCTAAGGTCCTTGAGTCATCACATTCTATACACTGTGTATAGGATGCGAGGATGCTGAGCGACATACCATCGCTGCATCGAAGAACGAGACAGGCTGGAGAGAGAGTTGTCACATCTAGCCAGCTCAGAGTATCAGATGAGTATAATTTTGTTAGTTTCCTCCCTAGACCAAAACAAGCAGCATATTCTGCAGAAAATAGGCATGGCTACATTGCACTGAAGATTCGGGTGGCTTAAAGAAGAACTCTGGGTATTTTTAAAAATTAACCCTTGCAGTGAGACTACCCCCTCACTGCAAGGGTTAATTTTTAAAAATACCCAGAGTTCTTCTTTAAGCCACCCGAATCTTCAGTGCAATGTAGCCATGCCCATTTTCAGCAAAATATGTATTCTCTATGCCAGGGTATCCCTTTATCTCACGTTCCAAGGTTGGAGGGTATAATTCAAGTACCTTTATGCTTGATGCAAGTCTCTTGTATGTAAACCCTGAAAATCAGCACTTTGGCTAGAAGGGACAGTAAGAACCTAAAGCCAATAAGACTGCTGTGCAGACTGCAGCGAGAACTAGATGAGCAGAGGATGACCTCATCAGTGTACTGTGCGGTCTATTTATCCGATCAGCAACTGTACATTTTAATTGTGCAAAGCAGGTTAGAAAAATGGCTACACAGAATAGGAAATCCTTAGGCAGGTACAATACACCACACGCACCCATTGCAATGCAGTATTTGGAAGCTTAGCCTAGAGACATTGATTAACATACTCCATGCAACTAATACGAGATCTTACAAACATATGAGGGAAGAATAGTAAACCAGAGAGATGTAAATAATGGGGGTTCTTCAATGATTGTCTCTGTGCCCTGCAACACGGTCTGATAATGAATACTCTCCCTCCTAGTCACCTTTTCCACTGTAACCTACTGAAGCCGCCAATCATCCCTACCGCCACATCCTTTCCTACCAACACGCTTCTTACCTCGTGACGTCACTACACATGCGACACAAGGCAGGTCCCAGAGACCGGAAGCGCTAAACCGGAAATCGCTCTGCAGGGTCACGTGAGCACGAAGGTTAGGCTTTTCCGGCGAGTTGTAGTTTCGTCGTGTGCTGGTTTGTGTTCGGAGCTGTGTGTGCAAATTACGTGACACATACACTCCATATGCTACACAGTCCAGCTTGTGATTTTTCTACTGACTCCACATGTAACTTCCTATAGGGCGAATTGATGAAAACGGACGACTCCATAGCTTTTTTTTATCTTAGTAAATGGAGCTTCGCTCATATGTTCTAGGGATGGCTTTAAAGACACATGCTGTGAAAATATATGGAGGCTGCCATTGCTGACCTGTGAAAATGCTTGTGGTCTGGCTGTCTTGTATTTTCACTGGCTTTGGTTCTATTCCAGTCAATAATGCTGGGCATATATGCTTTGTTTTGCTCATTCAACGTGGTGGATGGAACTAGAGAAAATCATTTTATTCCTTTATCCATGTTAAATGGCGTGGATGGAGGAATATCCCCTACTGGCTGTTGTATTCAAGCAGCTGTCAGTATACCTACACAATGACTGCATCCAATTGGGTGGCAAACATTTTCATCCAGCTCTTTCCACTTTTTCAGTTGACTGGTTGAGCACAGTGGTGGCAACAGGGCCACTTATGGCTTGAGTTTAAGCCAATTCAGCAAGAATCAAACAAAATTCAAGCTGTATAAGAAAGAATAAGGGAGGGTTATAATCCCTGTCAGCTTTCTTGGCCATCTGTATCCAATTGGGGAGATTCCCCTTCACAACTGGAAGTGATAGGAAATCCGTCCAAAGTGAGGGAAATCCCTGGTGGTCAGCAAAACTGGGGAACCCATCGGAAGATTTTCTATCTATTTCTGTTCTGATGACAACCAAACATTTGGGATTTTCTTTCACTCTCAGTGATAATGGTCGCCAGGACACATGATCACCCAGCATGGGTGAATCTCCCTAAAGGTGGCCATACACCTTACAACCATTGTACAACTTTTTTTGTCCAGACATCTCACCCTCATTCAATTTTCTTACAACTAGCCCATCATGCACAGACCAATGTAATTCACAACTAACGCTCGTCAGCACCACCACCGGGCTGATTTTCAACGATTGAAAGGACAGATTTTTGTTTGAGCATGTGCAGCTTGCATCCTGAGATTTTTGTTGTACTAACTAACAACCTGCCACTATCCTGTCAATTTTCATTCCAATTAGACAAAAGTTTTCTGCTGAAAAGACAAAAATCTCCCAGTTGTACAGTAATTGAGGTTGTGCGCTCCCCATCAACTGGCAGATTTTCTGACGAAAACGCAATGTCAGACAAACATCTCCAGATAATTGTAAGGTGTATGGGCACCTTAACAGGGACACAGACAGCAATAAAAACCTGACAGAGCTTCTAATCCCTCTCCACTCTAGCCAAAACTGGAAAAAAAGCGTTGGCTTCATGTGTACTTTAAGTATGCAAATCTGGAGTTCTAGCTTTGCGCTGATTTTAGTCGCTCCGTTCACACTTGAGCATGAGCGTTTTCAGGCAACTTTGCAGCATTTTTTTCCCACGCCTTTTTTAGGCTTGAGCATTCTCTTAGCCAACGCCAGGATAGTTACTAGCAGTAGGTAATAGTTGTTAGGTGCAAAATTGTGCATTACGCATGTATTTCAGGCTCTCCCTTTGAAGTCTATGGGGCCAAAAATGTGCAATTCTGCTAATGTACTTTCTCATGAAACGCTTGTGTGTGAACATACTCCATAGAAAATAGTGGGAGTCTTCATGTTGACTGTTGCGCTTCGTGAAACACGTGACAAGATGGTGTGATTGGGGGCTTAAGTTTGCATTGTTGCTTAATTCAGGTCAATGACAGCACCGAAGCCGATCGGACCATTTGGTTATCACAGAGATCACATAGTAATGTTTGTATTGTCAAGTCCTCGCCTTCCATTACAACAGAGGCACGGGAGAGCAAAGTAGGGCTGCAACAACTAATCGACATAATCGATGATTGAAAATGTTGTGAACTTTTTCAATCATCGATTAATCGGCTTCCGATTAGTTGGCCCTGTTCACAGCTCCACACACGCTGTGCACCACACCTCCTCCCCACCTCGCGCTCGCAGCTGCCAGCCCTGCCCGCGCCCACACGCCGCACCTCCTTCCCGCCTCACGCTCACCGCCCGCCCACATCCACGATCGGCACAGGGATGCGGGGAGAAGAAGTAAGGAGGAGCAGGTGTGGGGGGATGACAGCCGCCGATAGACAGGCCCGATCCCAGAAGCAAGTTGCTGGAAGACTGCTTTCCTGCACTTTCCCACACATGGTGCTCTATAATGTATTGCTGGGATTTGTATTCCTCTATAGCTGATGGCCCTGTTCACAGCTCCACACACGCTGCGCGTACATTGTGATGTATATTATACAGCACAATGTACCATCAGCTATAGAGGAATACAAATCCCAGCAAAACATTACACACTATATGTATAATGTATTGCTGGGATTTGTTGTATTCCTCTATAGCTGCTGGTATTCTGCATTGTGCTGTATAGAGGAATACAAACCCCAGCAATAATACATTATACAGCGCAATGCGGAATACCACCAGCTATAGAGGAGTACAACAAATCCCAGCAATAATACATTATACAGTGGTGCAATGCCCGATACTACTAGCTATAGAGGACTACATAACCCAGCAATAGTACATTAAACAGCGCAATGCAGAATACCGCCAGCTATTATGTACTATTGCTGGGATTTGTTGTATTCCTCTATAGCTGGTGGTATTCTGCATTCATTGCTGTATAATTTTACACTTCATTTCATTATATTGCACCACACTTTTTTTTTTCTTTTTGTACTTCCACCGCTCCAAGCTTGCTCCTGTGATGGGCTGCAATCTCAATACAAACTAGTAGTCCCATCACTGGAGCCATTTTTAAAAATGTATTTATCCAATTAATCGAACTTAATAATCGGCTAACTAATCGATTTTGAAAATAATCATTAGCTGCAGCTCTAGAGTAAAGGAACTAATTAATGTATGAGTCATCCATTGTTACCTCCTAGTGAAAACAAGCTGCATCAGCAATAAAACAAATTAAGTTTTAAATA